TTTATTGTATCAAGCACATTGTTTGCATTGGAAGGCATTTAATGGTGTGAATCAACCGTTAAAGTTGGTAAAATTGCTCCCGTTATTGCATTATTGCTTTATTTCCCTTCTGTTTACATTTGACATGCTGTGGAACCCCACAGCCATGTAGGGTCATGTGGGCGTAGTTTGTAGGGGCGTGGTTTGTAGTGGCTGTGCCTTGAGTTTGGTGGGTGAGGTTGACAGATAAAATAAATTCATGATGTGCTGCAGCAGTGCGACCATGAAATAATTAAATAAATAGTGAAATAAATGTATACGTTTTTAAATAAAATGAAAATTAATGAAAAATGAATTAGTTAATGACACATTTAATTAATTAATGATGTATATATTGATACTTTTAATTCATTAAATAATTAAATTATTACATATTTAATAAATTATTTGTTTAATTAATGAGGCATTTAATTAATTAATTAACTAATTAATTTATGACGTATTTAGTGAAACTTTTAATTAATTCATTCCCATTTTAAGTAATTAGTGAAACATTCATTTAATTAATTAATTGTGTATTTATTTATTTCATTTGGGCACATTTCACCCTCCAAAGGTCAGGCTCTTTGGACTTAGGGGTTGATAAACGGGTGAATGTTTTCTTTTTTCCTTCATGAGGGTCCCTTATCTGTTAGCTGCCCTTTGAAACTCCAACTGATTTGATCAGTGACTTTACCCCTTCCTGGGACTGGCTTGAAGCTGTCATTTGAGGCTCTTTCTGGTCTGATCAGTTGATTTATCACTTCTTGCGACCTGAGTTGGAAAGTTTTGTGTCTCTTTGGCATCTGTGTCTGTTCATATCCTACAATACTTGTAATTGTAGAGTGAAAACTAACTGCACTGTCTAGCTACTTTCTCGGCTGGACATATTTCCAGTAGAAGTTGTCAAAGCTTAAAAAGACTGATTCAAGCTCTCTATTTTGTGGTGTTTGTAAGTTCAGTTGCTACGATTGTTTATTCAATTATTTATTAAATTATATAGATTCTAGATACCTAGTTGTCAAAATGATTTCCCTCCAAAATTTTAGTTTGAAACTCTTTTTGACTGCACATCATGAAGAGCTTCACACACAGTTATTGTTATAATAATATAATCCTATCACCTCCCTAGTCATATGCCAAGAAATGTTTTCATTTTAACATATATTGTTCCTATGTTGCTAAACTTCTAAACCAAGTATTTTAAGTAGTTTTACTGTATTTTTGCTATTATTAGCATAGTTTATGTATTTAACAATGTGATATATATCAATATTGCTCTATTGAACATCAGTTAAAGCTACCTTTGGTTTATTTTAAGGATCTCCTGTGTCCCAGCCCTACAGTGTGCTGTCACACAAGTCCATTATTTTTCTATGAACTGCATGTGAAATATCTAAGCAGCCTCAAATTCCTTCCCAGCTTTCAGTCTCCTACACAGAACTAAATTGGTTCTTGGCTTCGTGATGGGCTAAGGTGTTAAGAAGACCTTTGTTTGTGGCTGGAAGAAATATGTCTATACAGATCAAGAAGTAAGTGCATCAGTAAATTTGACACTATTTCTGGCATCAAGGTATTTAAACCAAAGTGAAAGTCTATTACCCCAGCTGCTGTCTCACATTCAACACAGCTTGATGAAAGAAACAGCTGGAGGTAGATGCAGAAGAAAATTGATAAGAACATTTTCTTGCTGATTGCGCATAAATGTACACAAAAGT